ATCTAAAGAGTGTGTACACATACGGTGTAAAGGTTGGATATACCCAGAGAGTAACAACACATGAACTTGCTGTTATCATACACAGAACCATCGACAAAGTTTTCAAGGTAATTGAACCGCATTTTCTTCTCCGATTGGTCGATGAACTCGTCGATTTTACTCATCAATTCCTCCGCTCGCGATTTCAAATATTGGCACGCCTCTGCAGGCTCTTCTGTCACATTTGCGAGCTGAAACTGAAAGAAAATTTGATTGACGTAGTCGTAAAACGAATCTTTGAAGATCATTTGGTTGCAAACACCTTTAGGAAGATCAACGCCAATAGTAACAATAATAACAGGGTAGTCATTTGAACCCGACACCATGAAAGGTATATGAATCGCAAAGATGACTTTGTCATATTCCTTATCGTGTATGATAGTTGTTCCAATTTCGTATTGGTAGTAAGTAGGAATATGAGTTGTTTGTACTCTTATTTCTGGTGGCGAGTCAACCAAGATGTTCTGTTTTAATGGAATAGACTTGAAGTACTGGTTCATCCCAAATGCTTGAAATTTATTCGAAACGGTTGTGTCAAAAGTATTGTCGCCATACATCAAAGTAACTCTTCTGTTTTGTTCTTCCGGGCACGACACAACAGTGAACAGAAAGATATGTGAATTGTCTCGAAAAGGGATTTTAATGACTGTTTTCCATACAACATCTTTGAGGTAATTATGAGTAGTGCTCTCCCTCAAGACGTTCTCAAAAGACCCCCACACCACACCCCAATGCTCAGATAAAGTGTTTGCCTCAAACGACCTCACACTAAAAAAGGATTGTTTATATCCCGGAAAAGAAGACGCTGTTGCAGCGCTCCCTCTACGTGAATGGAGCTGTTTCATATCATTTATCAAGTTCAATTGTATTCATTTAATTCTTTAACTAATAAGAATACAAAAAGCAATTTGTACTATATTACATTAACTAATATACTATACTTTCAAATATACTATACAAATGCTATATATTATAATTTATTATAATAGCAATCAATAGAATAAGGACTAGTAAAATATTAATTAAATTAATTAAAACTTGTTAATAAATAGAAGAGAAGACATTTTTATGGCGACAAACGAGTTCAACCATTTTTGATATTATTTCAATGGATATGAAATCTGTCAAAAAGCTTGTTTACTTTTTAGACCGCGAAACAAGCCACTTACTTGCTATGATAAACATGAAATATTCTTGGTGGGTGAACCACACAATTCGCACATTACCCGAACAAAGAGTTGTTTATTCCTATGAACAATTAAGACCAACGTCTTTTTATCAAACAGTTACTATAGCCGTGGAGACGTGTGATGTCTTCACATTCAACAAAAATTGCTTTGAAAATATTGTTTCCGTCAAAATAATGAAAAATCGAGGAGGTGCAGTTCTTAACACATTTATAGAGTGTTTGGCCACTCAGTCTATTCACTTAGAAATCATCGACATTTTCTTTGTATTGGTGTGCCCAAAAGTGGGTTCATGTACTTGTCCAGCACTTTTTACATCCCGATTTCCTTTCCTCAAAAAGTTGTTCTTTAGACAGGTGAATACCTCTATACAAGCGCGTATGACTATTAATAAGATATGTGACACTTTCAAAACAAATAACCAAACAACACAATTGGCCTTCTTTTTCGACTCACCAGCTTTCACACAAGAAGACCTTTACAGTGGTATTGTGAAGAACACAAATGCGTTTTTTGTTATTCAAAGCTTTGGGTTTCTACTTGAGAATTTAGAGATGTGTCATCATAATAACATTTTGTTGTCATCAGATTCATTGAAAGTAAAGGTGGACTGTTCCTCGACTTTTTTCAACTCATTTTTGACATTGAACAAACTGTATTTATTTTCTAATGTCAGTTTTGTTACAAAATCAAACGATTTAGTCGATTTGAATTTTCTTGAAAATACCAACTTCACATTAGTTGGGAAAATTCCCATGTCAAATACATTCCTTTCAAAGGTACACGAATTGACATTTTGTGAAATGGTCATTCCACCATTTAACGATATTGGGTGCAGAGATATTTCAATGTACACAGCTCTGACCAAACTTTATTTAACAACTAAAAGTTCATTGAAACATCTGCCATTTTTAATACCAAATAATTTGAAGGTGTTGGTGCTGAATAACACATTTGTGAATTCATTCACAGAACTTGGTAATATCACAGAGGTGTCAACACTGAGAACATTGAGAGTGGAGTCAATGAACATCTCTGAAATAACTAATTTGCCGAAATTACCAATCACAAAATTTGTTGTAGATAAGTGCTCATTTAGGGTAAGGCAGTTTGAGCACCTCTTCCCAAGATTATCAACTTTTAAAGCTCAAAATTGTATGTTATTTATCGTGGAACAATTTCCAAATACACTCACTTCTATTAAACTGAAAAGTTTGATGTCCCCGTGCTGCACATTTGACACTATTCATTTGGTGTCTTTGTGTCTCAACAAAACAACGTTTTTAAAACAAATCAGTCTGCCAACTTCACTTCAGTTCTTCTCTATGAAGAAGTGTAACACCCCAGAAAAGTGGAATCTATCACAACTATTCTTATTGACGGAATTCAGAATGAAACACTGCTGTTCAAAAGACGTTGTGTTGCCTACAAATTTGCAACTTCTCCAAGTCCTGAAATGTGATGAAACAACAAAACTGGAGAACTTGGAACAATGTAATCTCGTTAATTTGAAAGTGAACCTCAATTCAAAGTTTTTGAGCAGAATACACATTCCATTTAACTCAGTCGACTTGTTCTATGAGAAAGAAAAGGATGTGATGTTTTCCACAAAAGGTAAAAACAAGAA